TTCCGTCACTTGAAGATCGCTACCCCCGAGGACAGCTCCATCAACTTGCTCCATTACGCTCTTATCCTCCTCATCGTCGGTGTTCCCGTCGGTCTCCCGGTCGTTACCACCACTACCCTCGCTGTCGGTGCCGCCTATCTTGCTCAGCAGAAGGCCATTGTCCAGAAGCTCACCGCCATTGAGTCGCTCGCTGTAAGTTTTGCAGGCTACCGCCTCCACTGCATCTGCTAACTCGTTCAGGGTGTCGATGTTCTCTGCTCTGACAAGACCGGTACTCTCACTGCCAACCAGCTGTCCATCCGTGAGCCCTTCGTCTCTGAGGGTGAGGATGCCAACTGGATGATGGCTGTCGCTGCCCTTGCCTCTTCCCACAACATCAAGTCGCTCGATCCCATTGACAAGGTCACCATCCTGACCCTCAAGCGTTACCCGAAGGCTCGTGACATCCTCAGGCAAAAGTGGAAGACCCAGAAGTTCACTCCTTTCGACCCTGTCTCCAAGCGCATCACGGCTATTGTCACTCTCGATGGCGACACCTACACTTGCGCCAAGGGTGCCCCCAAGGCCGTCCTCGCTCTCACCGACTGCTCCCAGGAGACCGCCGACCTCTTCCGTGACAAGTCTGCCGAGTTCGCTCGCCGTGGTTTCCGCTCTCTCGGTGTTGCTTACAAGAAGAACGACGGCCCATGGATTCTCCTCGGTCTCTTGTCTATGTTCGATCCTCCTCGTGAAGATACCGCCCAGACCATCGTTGAGGCCCAGCACCTCGGTGTTCCCGTCAAGATGTTGACTGGTGATGCCATCGCTATTGCCAAAGAAACTTGCAAGATGTTGGCTCTCGGCACCAAGGTCTACAACTCCCAGAAGCTCATCCACGGTGGTCTCTCCGGCACTACCCAGCACGATCTTGTCGAGCGTGCCGATGGTTTCGCTGAGGTTTTCCCCGAGCATAAGTACCAGGTCGTCGAGATGCTCCAGCAACGTGGCCATTTGACTGCCATGACTGGTGATGGTGTCAACGATGCTCCTTCCCTCAAGAAGTCTGATTGCGGTATTGCCGTCGAGGGTGCCTCTGAAGCCGCCCAGGCCGCTGCCGATATCGTCTTCCTTGCCCCCGGTCTCTCCACCATCGTCTTGGCCATCAAGACTTCCCGCCAGATTTTCCAGCGCATGAAGGCCTACATCCAGTACCGTATCGCTCTCTGCTTGCATCTCGAGATCTACCTTGTCACCTCCATGATCATCATCAACGAGACGATCCGTGTCGAGCTGATTGTCTTCATCGCCCTCTTCGCTGATTTGGCTACCGTCGCTGTCGCTTACGATAACGCCCACTCCGAACAACGTCCCGTCGAGTGGCAGTTGCCCAAGATCTGGATCATCTCCGTCGTTCTCGGCTGCCTGCTTGCCCTCGCGACCTGGATCATCCGCGGTACTCTCTTCCTTCCCAACGGTGGTATCGTTCAGAACTTCGGCTCAGTCCAGGAAATTCTCTTCCTCGAGGTTGCCCTGACTGAGAACTGGCTCATCTTCGTTACTCGTGGTGGCAAGACCCTCCCGTCCTGGCAACTGATTGGTGCCATTCTTGGTGTCGATGCTCTCGCAACTGTCTTCGCTTGCTTCGGTTGGCTGTCCGGTGGTCTCTACGAGACCAACCCTCCCACCACCTTCGTTCAGCGCCAAGATGGTTGGGTCGACATTGTTACCGTTGTCGTCGTCTGGGCTTACTCGATCGGCGTTACGATCGTCATCGCCATCGTCTACTACCTTCTCAACAGGATCACGGCTCTCGACAACATGGGCCGCAAGGACAGGACGAACAAGAACCCCAAGATTGAGAACATTCTCGCTTCGCTCGCCCAATACAGCCTCGAGCACGACACCGGTGCCGACGGCAAGGGCAACTACCGCCTTGTCCCCAGGGCGGTGGAAGAGGAGGAGGATGAATAAGCGTCTGCTCTTTGCATTTCTTAATAATAAACATGGACTGTTGTTGCGGTGTGGATGGAGTTGAGTCGCGCACTGCGCTTCTGCTGCTGTTGGATCGGATGGATTCCGCTTGCATGTTAAGATACCTTCCTGATGTTCTCACGGAAACCTCAAAAACGGTATGGGGTGCTAGATGGGTGAGGGGATGATGCGATGGGAGAGAAGTGGAGTGGTCAACTGAGTATACCCAGCAGCTGGTTGCTCTCACACAAACTCAAAACATTGCATCCCCTCTCTCTATTGCTTTGCTTTCTTCACATCGAACCCAAAGGACAAGTTCTAAAAGCTTGTACATAAACCCCTTAATGTCTTACTGTCATGAACAATTCCTTAATTCTATTAAACCCGGCCGACTGATCGCAATTTCACTGTGACGTGCATGTGAATATGACGCTTCCAGCACGCTTCCAGGATGCTTCCAGCACGCACATTGACAGGTTGCAAGTTCCCCAATGCGACCGTCGACCGGTATGAACAACAACGCTCAGCCTAAAAATATAGCAAAGGCCCCAACCCGAAACTACCTCAAGTAGGTAAAGCTCAAGATCTTTTGGTAAGTGGTGGTGTGATCTTCCATCGATAACCTAACGACCATCCCTCCAAAGGAAGCAACAGAAAGATTTCTTGCGCAAGGTATCTCCATAACACGCACCCTGCCCTTGCAGCTTTGCGTCGGATGTCCCTGTAGGTACGTACCTTTTAGTACCAGATAACGGCGCCCGTAGCTTTGGTCAAGCCAGGTAGCTTTTACCTAGCCTACCGATAGCATGACACCTTAGCTTTTACCTACTTATTTTTCTTTCCACATCTTCTGAAACGAATGGGAGAGGCACCAAGATGGTGCCGGGGCGCTGGCGGGTCTAGGCTCAAGCCCTGCGATGACGGGCAGACTGACCTGAAGGCTGACACTCGGAGGGAGCGAGCTGCAGTCTGGAGAGAGTCAAGTCAACCTTAAGCGAACCGCCCGCTGAATCCTGACTCTCTGCTGGAGTACCAAAGTGACTTACTGTGTACCTCATCTGCATGTCAGAGATACACAACTCCACTGGGGGCAGATAAGACGGCCGGGGAGTGGGGAAGAAGTTGAAGATCTTGGAGGGCCCGAAGACGCTATTATTCAATCGCAGATGAGAAGTCGTGAAGATCTTCTAATCAGCTCCGGCTCTAGGTTTTGGAGCCTTGGGGATGCCCTTGTCAACCTCGACGGACGGGAACTGAGGTCGCTTGTCTCAGTACTACACTACTACCTGGCACTCTGCACCACGGGCATTATAACCTCGATGGCGTCAGCAGCTTTATCAGACATAGGATTGGCTCGTCGACTTCTCCCCATGGGAATATATTGTCAGAGGCGCCTGTACGCGATCGGGATGGAGAGATCAGTAGACTTGCCCAAGTAGACCAGGCAAGCAAATCGTGTAGATTGTAGGAAAACCCTTGAAGTTTGTCCCAGACTCCCAGGTTCAAGGTTCGCAAACCCACGCTCTCGGGGATGCGGCTCCGCACACGAGCAACACGAGAGAAGAAGGTGACATTCCCAACTGTGAAGCTCGAAGCCCAGCAATGAGGCTCCAATTCATCCTCGGGAGACCTCTGTGGGGGTTTGGGACTCGTGGTACTTCGTGCCTGGTCCTGGGCTGTCCTTCCTCGCCTCGAGTGATCCGCGCGAATGTACTCCCACACTACTGCAGAACGTCCCCTTGATACATACTTCATGCTCGAGGGTACGTACCCAGGAGTCAGACGAACATCCACCCCAGCGACATCGATCGAGAGGAGACAAGCTCTCTCGGTGGGGAAACAAGAGCGAGGTAAGCTTTGCACAAGATTCTCTTGTCGATTCCGTCCTGGGGAGGAGCATGACGGTGAAAATCTCAATCTCAATATTTCTTCCGTAATTTGCAAAGGGGGATTCACAATGTGAATCACTACTCTGCGCAAGACACAAGTAGAGGGTGACTCAGCCCCTTCATAACCAGTGGAAATCTTTTCATCTCAATCAACGATAGCGAAAAGGCCAGGGCGATCGTGAACGTATCCGCGTTAAGCGTTTGAACAACCCCTACAAGAGCGAGAGCGAGACAGACAAGCTTCAGAAGACAAAATCTTGTTTGCTTCCCCATGGCAACGCATAAGACGATGCAGAATTCTTCTGATCCCTACATACGATCTGGAAGATACTACCCTAGCCCTACCCTTCTACCTTGTATCTTTTTACCCCTCCCTCACATCGTTCTCCCGACGTCTCATTTTTCTTCCTTCCCCTACTCCAAAGTCCCTGCAAATGTGTGTGTAGCTGGAGAGCTATGCACCATGTCCTTTTCCCCTTGTCCAATTAGCACTCCCCACGCTCGCTAAATGGGGGCAGAAAACCCAGCAAAACATGTTGAAGCTAAGAAACAATGGAGAGGCGAACGAGGGCGAGGCAGCCCAGCACACTGGAACGTCGACCAGGTAAGTTACAAGACTCCGACCGTAGCCGCGGGAGCAGAGCTGCACGAGTTCGCAAGCTCGTGTGCTCCCGACTATCCTTGGAAGTCATGCTCACCTGACTTGACACCGCCAGATGGCATGTTCGAGTGCGGCGGGGATGGCGGAGACGGAGGAGAACCTGACCTCCGCGAGGCGGGGAAGCTGTCTCCACTTGGTGATGGACCTTTTGACGGGGATGGAGTCATACTGCTCGGAATCTCCACTGTCGATGGCGTGGCGCGGTCGTGCTTTTCAATCCCTCTGCCCTTGGATTTGGAAAGGAACGCAGGAACTCCAGAACCATGTATTTCGGTATGACTCCCAGGGAAACCCGAGGGTCGTTTGAGTGAAAGGAACTCGGCGGAGCGAGTGCTCAGTAGGAACAGAGAAGAGGGCGCTGCGAGCGTAGCAGCAAGTATAGTCGTCATGCCCGAGGGACTCAAAGACGAAGCGGATGCCGAAGTCGAGTTCGAAGGCACAGCCGCACCACTCTCCGAAGTCGATGAAGCATTCGCTCCAGAGCCCGTTCCGGAACCAGACGCTGGAGCTCCACCGGATGGCATAGTCCCGTTGCCCATTGTGCCATTTCCTCCACCTGGTGGACCACCTCCCATCCCGCCTCCCATACCATTCTCGTTGGCCACGCCCCCCTCTGCGGTCAACTGACCGGCAGCGCCGACGCTGTTGTTTGCGCTCAAGTCAACTCCAATGCTGATCCACAGAACAAGCCATCCTCAACTCCACTGCCCAGATAGACAAAGTTGGGGAACGGATCGTAGTCATTGTCGGCTTCTTCTTGCGCGATTCCATCCTCGTCGTTGGAGGTCAGGTCTTGCGTGTTCGTGTTGTAGGGGTAAGTAGCCTCGACTTGGGCAATGAGATCGGACGGGAAGAAGATTTGGCCAACATGGGAGATGGTACCGCCGGTGTACGTGCCGTTTTCGAGGGCAGAGCCGCCTTGATGTGCCATCATGTGGATGTGCGGTGTTCGGCCTTGGTAGTGTCCGACGAATATGGTATCGAACGCCGCGAGGCCGTTAGAGTCGGTAGGCTGCATGCCACGGAGGAAGGTGTTGTTCTAGAAATTTACGTTAGCGTCACGTGTGGATACACAAAAGGGCTAGGAGAAGACCGCTGAAAGTCCACCTACCAGATTGAATAGATCATCTTCACCAGCGCCATTGCCATTGGCAACTACCCCCGAGTACACTCCAGTAGCATTTGCCTGCCACGTATCGATGTATAGGTCTGGAACAGCAGAGCATGTTGAAATATCGATGAACTGATATTCGAGGTGGACGGAAACGCCCTCCTGGTCTTCCGTCACGTCATCGCGGATGTATTCGCCGGTGATCCAGTACGGTCCCTTCTCCTGTTAGAGATCTCTCCTTCTTTTGCTCGAGAGAAGCTGCATACCTGTGTAACTTCCGGGGTCAAGATACAAGACGAATTGCTATAGGTTGAGAACAGAGTCGAAGCGTCGGTCGAAGTGTCATAGCTCAAGGATGTCAGATTGTGATTTTCAGCCTCGAAAGTCTGGAGAGCATGCAGATCACGCCGACACTTGAAAGGCTCTGTGGAGAGTTAGTGATGACGTGCTGGACGCTCGAACGCTTGGCTGATTTCGTACTCTTGACCTCAAGTCCTCTCTTCTGCCGCAAAGCTTCCGCTTTCTCCGCGCGGCGCTCATAATGTCTCGCTTGCAAGGCACGATAGTTGGGATCAGCAGCACATTTCGTGAGACCGCGCTGAATGTGTGCTGCGTGTGCACTGCGCTTGGCCAGCTCGAGAGCAATCTCCTCGTGCGAGTGGTGCTCTCCTGGATGAGCGATTGCTTTGGGAGAGAGGAGAGCAAAAATGCAAACTCGAGAAGGGCTACAAATGAGTTCAGCATTGCGGACGTTGAAATGTCTTCAAGGCGTGACTGAGGGAAAAAGAGAAGTAGACTAGGGCGAATGACTTGTTCTGGCTTGATCTGATGGGGAGTTGAAACTTTGAAGGAACTGAAAGAAATGAACACAGTCTTATACTACCTGAAGTCCCTACCATCAACCTCCTCTACATGCTCAAGAATCGTAATGGTACTACATCAAAGAATCCCCACGATCCACCACATTGGCCAACCACGTACGTCTCGTCAAAGCCTGCCTCCAGCATCAAGCTGCTTACGTCCTCCTCTTCCCCTTCCTTCAGCGGTCCCATGCAGGAACACTCCACAGCAGACCTGTACATCGAATTTCCACAGACGCCTCGTAGGATTCTGACCGAAGTTCAAGCAACAAGACCAATCGAGCAGAAAGCTTACCGACAGCCAAGACTCCGTGAGTGCGTTCCTGCGCCTACAAGTACGTATAGCAAGACTTGGCATATTTTGCAAAATGCTCCAAGCTGCCTGTCTGCCAATTCCATGGACCTATCAATGAGGAGGTAGTCGTCAGCGTCCACCTCATGGCTCGGAATATCCGAAGGGCGGTGGGAGTTTTGGCGACACGAAACGGGACCGCTTCTTTTTCTAGTGGGACTCTGGACTGGATCGAAATCTCAAAGAATTGGCCATGCTATTCCTTGCGTATACGCATTTTTGCCGCCTCGCCGCGTGGCCTGGCTGATGGAGTCTGGACTTTCGTGAGAGTGGTGGCTTGGGAGATGCTGTGAGTTCGACTTCGGAGAAAAAGCCGAGCGCTTGTGGCGAGTCAGAAATCACGTGATTTCTGTTTTTAAAATTCAACCACAACTGAATCACCATAGAAAGCGAAGATTGCTAGTAGATCTAGACAGAGTAGCTAGCTTATGCAAGGACAGCTGTAGCAATACACGGGACATGAGAGCGAACATATAAGCAAAAGATTGGGTATATGGCGAGGTGGGGGTGCCGCAGACTCGAGAAATGGTAGTAACCAGCGACTAAATAGCAAGAGATGAAGTTGAGATCGGCATGTAGTAGAGCAAGACCGTCAAGCCGAACAGAAGAAAAACACGGATGGAGACCGTAAGTAAAATAAGAAACCGGACGTGCAAGCGAGATCCCTCTCATGTATCTCCCACATAGACCGTTCAGGCTTCTGTCGAAACCACTGTCATCGTAATATCTCCGAAAGCTTCGTCCTGATCCGCACTGATGAGATTTTTGCTGGCAAGGCTTAGAACATGAAGGAGGCCCTGCGCAGCAACAACCTGGGAATTGTGCTGCGGCGGAAGCAGAGTCTCAAAGGTGATGCTGTCAACTTCGCCCTCGCCATCTTCGGTCTGCGCTTGGTTTTGCTCTCCGATCTTGTGCTCGATGAATGCGAGGAAGTTGAAGCTTTCCGAATCGAGTGCGTCGCGGGGTAATTGACTCTCAGCCGCAGTTTGAGTGTCAACGGCAGCAGTCGGACCGTAGAGCTCGAATTCCTCTTCTGTGACCTGACCGAAGTGGTCGTCTCCATGTGCCATGCCCTCGCCTTCATCTTCACTGTGCAGATCGTGGAGCGCACTTGGCCTGCCTCGGCCAACAAGCGGAGAAGCACTCACAAGTCGGCTACCACGACGGCTGCGAGATCCGGGCAGCACGCCGAGAGAACCCGGTACACCAGCGAAACTACTCGGACCGCCTGCAGAGGTTGGGAAACCTGCAACACTGAGAGCGGGTCCGTGAGCGACAGAGGAGCCGCGCACAGAAGCAGAATAAACGTTCCAAGGCATGGCAGAGAAATCCTCGAGACCTTCTGGTGCCTCACGGGGAAGTTCAACATCTTCATCTTGGTAGTTCATGAGGCCGTCGTCATCCATGCCACGACCAACGTTGTCTTCGAACGAAGAGCGGGCACGTTTCCTCGGAGGTTGGTCGTCAGTCTCTTCGTCCGATTCATGGCCTCGTTTTCGGCCAGCAACAGACGAAGAAAGACTCAAGCCAAGAGTGTCAAGCAGGTTTTCCCCAATGAACATATCCAGTGGACTTTTGAGATTTTGAAGACCTTTTCCTGCACCGTTCAGTCCAGCGCCGAGAACCCAATACTCTGCATTCTTCTTTGCCTGCCAGGGCGCTTTGTGGTTCAGCTTGTGACGCGAGGCTTCGGCCATGTTGGCAAGATAAGATGCATTCCACTGGACAAGATCACTGTTGCGCAGTTCCATAGTTTGGTCAAGTGGGATCACTCTGGGGCCACGGGCATTTTGACGCGGCGGCGCGTGGTCGAGGGTTGATGACGAATTGTCGGGAAATTGAGCTGAGGGAGACGAGCGGTGGGCGCCGCCATGACCAACAGAGGGAAACGCACTGCCTTCAGGGAGGTCATATTCATCCATCGCTGGGAGATCAAGGTCCATTTCCTCACCAACCTGTCTTCTGTCAGTTTCATCTTATAGGCAAACAGCGCAAGGGCAACTCACTCCTGCGGTTGCCGTTTGCCCACCCTCATGCTCTTGACTAACACGAGCGGGCGCATTGGGATCGCTGCCGGTCCGGTGTCGCAGAAGTCCTGTACCAGCCAAAGTCTCTGCGGGAGCATCTAGCTGAATCATGTTACCATCGGCGTCGAAGTCAAAATCAACTTCAGGAAGGAATCCGTCATCTTCTTCGTGAGCGAACAGATCTCCCTTTGGACGACTGGCACTGGTCCCGAATACATCGTCACCGAGCAGGTTGAAACCGCCAAAGGCGCCGACATCACCAGTATCTGAAGTTGGAATGATAAGCCCGCCGACCGAACCATCCTGGGAGCCGTAAGGTGTCATTGGTGAAAGTGTGCCCGACATCTGAGAGCTCCGACCGAGGGACAGAGCCGCTTCTTCGTCTAGGATATCGAGGTTCAATTTACCTAGCCGCTGGAGATCATCCGGAAGGAAAGCTGGATCGTCCTGGAGAAGCAGCTGTTCAGGTCTAGCGAAGTGATATCAGTCGCGGAACAAAATGTCTGTCTATTAGTACTCACTGTGTACGGCCAGCCTCGGTATCGAGCTCAGCATATCTTACGACCTCGAGCAGAGCACGCATGCTCTTCTGGGCATTCTGCGCGTCTGTGAGGACAAAGCCGCATTGCTGCTCAAAGACGCGCGACACGCCGAACCTATCATACACACTTAGCTTGCAAACTTTGGTGGGGATTATAGAGAAACACTCACAGCAAATTGCTCTGCAGTCGAAGTGCCATCGGCGCTTCGGGTGTGATGATGGTCTCGCACGCTTTAGGTACGTTGACTTCGAGAATGGCTTTGCGATTGACCTTCGCCTTCTTCAGTCCCGATTTCGAACCTAAAGTCGCGACCAGCCTTGTGTGGTCAGTGTCTGTATAGATGCCTCATCCCACTAGGAAAACACGTACCATATCGTTGCTACGCCATATTTGCGCGACGTGAGGACTGCGTCTGTGAGCGCAGATCCGGGTGTACCGCAATCCATCCACTACGTACCTTCGTGACTGTAGAACATGCTGGCATTCGGAGAGCGGGACGCTAAAGCTTGATAGAATACAGGTAGTTTACACGTAGAATGATACTGGTTAGACGTGTGTAAGCTGGGACGAAAGAGGATGAGAAGGCTTGAGGTTGGAAGTTGAGGATTGAAGACCCGGGGAAAGGACTAGCGCCAAGAGCTCAACTAGAGACGCGACCTCGACGAAAAGTCGCCACAAAAGCTGCAGGAAGATGCACAGATGGGACAGAGCCTAGGAAAGGGATTCTTTCGCTATGATCGCGTACGGAAAGGCCATAGCTGTGTGATTAGGTAGCCCTCTATACACTCCTAACACTATCGCATTTCCCTCGCTATGCAGACCATGAATCGACCATATCGCTGACTAATCTTCGCCGCCATCGAACATCCCATCAGCACCGCTTTTACGTGCTGGTGTAAGCGTGAAGCTGCATTTAGGAGCTCGAAGCTTCAGCCTTGGGCTTCTCCGGCTCCTCCAGCGACGGGAGAGGCAATGAACGGTAGAGCAGAATTAGAGCCGAATGACTTTGACCTGTATCTCGGTGTCAGCATTGATCTACCATTGTTCAGGGAGGTGGCTCAGAAGGTCAGGTAGGTCTCCAAGTGCAGAGGTCAAAAGACAGCGACCGGTATGTGCAAGCTACTTACCGCCACCAGAAAGTGTGTCGATGCGATCCGACTCGACTTCAGACACCTTGTCGTCGTTGAACCACCACCACTTGCCATCCTCCTCGCCTATCTTGCTAGTGACCGGATCTTTGCGGCCAGACTTCTTCACGAAGGAAGTGTAGTGACCACTGTCGGCACTCGCTCCTTGGTGAGTAATCACTCCACGGAGTTCATACAGGCCGGTCTGGTTCGCTCCCGCGTCCTCGCCCAGCTTAGGGTCAACGAGAGCGAGCAACTCCTTCTTCGCGGCGAGGATAGAAGCAGCGCGCTCAGCTTCAATCTCGGCATCTGTCTTGTAATGCACATCGGCCATCTCTGTGTCCTCACCAGCCTTCTTGGCTTCTTTACTTTCACTCTTGTCCTGATTCTTCTTATCGCCTTTCTTCGAATCATCGCCAACGTCGTTCTCTTCGCCATTCTTCATCCTCTTTTGTCGTTTGCGCGCACGCTCCACATCCTCTTCTTCCTTTCGAATTTCACGGATCTTGTCCCGGATGGGCACAAGCTTCTTGCGGAGCTCCTCGGTGCAGAATTCCAGAGCATCCAGTTCCTGTGGAAACGTGACTTTTCGCATGATCTTCGCCTTCTTATTCGTAGATCGCCGCCAGTCAAAGCGCATGAAATGGACAGGCAGGTACTTCGGCAGCCGAGCTACCCGGGAAGTCTTCGTATAGACAGCATCACGTCCCAGTACTGGAGAGTTCTTTTCGATCTTCTCTTCCAGACCAGCAGCCAGTCCATCCCGGAGGTGGTTGGTCTCGGCATTGATGTGGCAGTTCAACTTGAAGAAGTCTTCAGAGGCGTTGATTGCTTGTTCGCCACCTTCCTTCGCTGCGGGCTCGTCGCACTCCATGACAGACTCAAATTTCCCAGCCATGTACTTATCAATGAATGACATGTCTGCAGCTTGCGATGAGCTATCAGTCGGCGGAGTTGCCTTGATCTTGACCTTCTGACGAATTTGCGACACAATTTGTGACCATGCTTCCTCCGCATCCTGTTGAGCATAATGCTGGCCGTCCTTGGCTTTTTGGGCAAACTGAGGGAATGCGGTACGGAGGGCGTTGAGAAACATTAGCGGCGGGAAGCCGTCCTGGGTTTCAGACATCTGTTTGAAAAGATCGCGAAGGGATGCTGTGAGATCGATCGAAGCCCCGAGCCCACCGAGGCCGAACTGACTGAGGTCGCCCATGCTGCTGGAGCCTGTGGATGTGGCACTGCGACTTAATTAGAATTGGGCTGAAATCTGTT